TTAAAAATGGTAATTTTGTTTAATTATTTTTTTAAAGATTGGCTGGTAAAATATTTGGTACATAACATGTGTGTTTAACTTAATAAGGCAATATCGTTATAATGTTGATTTTACGTATATTTCCTGATATTTGCCTATTTCATCAAAATTATTTCCTCATTATACATACGATACGTGATTCATATTTATATTCACATCTTTATTGCTTGGTTTCACATAAGATGTTATAAAATACAAAACATTAGTCACACATGTGACACTCTGCAAGGGCGCCGCAACTCAGGAGAGCACAACAAATTATTAATTACAAATATAAGTATCTCTACAAAATATTAATGACTATTTTCTTAAATAAAATTAAATAACATTTAATGACTAGGAAAATGGCACTTAACTTTTATTAAATATTTCATCTAATTTATAAAATGCGTTATTGAAAAGGTACTTTTTCAGATGGGCAATAAATGTCGATAATTTTTCTTGGTTTTTTATCTCATTTGGTATACTATTATAAATTTGAATTGCTATTGCGTGTGGTGGCAGCAAAGTTTACTGATAATTTGCTACGTCATAATGAAATTCAAATAATATACCATATTTTAGCTATACATTACATGGGGAATATGGGGGGGGCGACAATACGTGGTCGACATAATTTTAGATTTGAAATTATATTAAGCACGGTTTTAGTTGTCTTAAAAATTGTATTTCTCTTAAAGTTATCTTACCACTATGTGATGTTTGAAATGACTACGAATTCGTGTTGGGGGCCAAACTTTCAAAAGTAGTCCCATGTTGGGCATCAACTCGTTAAAAGGCCATTAATAAATTATCCCGAGTTAATTAAACGCTCAAACGAATAAAACGTAGAGCTGGATCCAATTAGTACTTGTGCAAATATCGGTAATTGAGGAGATTAATCGACAGTATTTACATCGCGTGTAAAGTTTTGCTAGAAGCGTCTATTCTAACCCCACTTCTGTGACATTTGCAATTAGCTATAGGCGCTTATTTAAGCGGAATAATTAATATTTAAGCTACTACTACGACTACTGCGACTCTATCCCTTTCATTAGCAGTATTTTTTGTTTACCTATTTTAAATATTACGTTTTTCTTTTTACTTTCTTTTTGAACATATGTTGTTGTAAATACGCTCTGTATTTATTCTTCTTCTGTCTGCGTGACCTTTCTGACAATTCGGCATGTATTTAAATTCACAGCTTTTTGTTGAATAAGGTCGTGTTGGTTTCTTTAAAATCCAACAATTTGAGGCTCTGGAGAAAATGATTCGAGATAACGCCTATTGTGGAAAGGACATTAGGGGCAACATATTCTTTTTCTTGTCGCCAAATTCTAGTAATTTCAACCTTTTGTGTCATGTTTCCTTACATAATCTGATAGGGTCAGGGCCTGCTAACCTGTTATACAGGTCTGGGTGCCTAGTACTCAAAAGTTACGACATTTTAAAACGTGAAATTTGCTCCTTTGTGTTGCGGTGGTAAGCTATTATAATGCCAAAGTTGTTATTATCAAGCATTAATTGTCTAGATTTTAAGCGCATTTTTAAGTTAATTTGGGACTATTAATCTATTCCAACATTCTTATGTCTACGCTACTGGATACTGGAGTACGAAAGCTCGGATTCTGAAGATAAACGTTTGAGCGTTTGCACAGCAATCGCAAACGCTAATTAGCGAGCAGACGATCCCACAGGACGAGCTTGTGTTACCAGCTGTATGTACACAGAGTCGGGTCAAGGGATTTCATATTTAAACTTACGAATTATAAATTTGAAACTTTCAATTTCGAGAAATGTGTACCCATTGAGATATTACAATTTTGTAATATAAACATTTGCTTTAAATTTTTATGTTATTTTCGATAAAGTGTATCAGAGCTCGATTTCAATTCGTAAAATCCTTCATTGCTTCAAGCACGATGTTAATACACTTCTTTAGCATTTACTATCTAATGGATAACATTTTATGCTAACGGTATATGAGAATATGCAACGGGTTATTTTAACCTTTCAAAATACGCAATCCTCCCGAATCAATTCATCAGTTAGCTAATCTACGCGTAGACAATCAAACGAACAATTAACTCGGACTTCATCAATTGTGAAACTCCGGTTGCAGTGGAGTTTGTTTTACCCATGTTGGTGATGTTGATTCACGCCGATGAAGTATTTGCTTTTTTCGGACGCGTCAGCAATGGCCGGCACAATATTGCCGACGCTACGCCGATTTTTGTGTTTATTTTGTACAAAATGTACTTTGAAACGGGCAGTTAATTGAAATAAAAACAAAGAAACAAAAAAGCACGAATATTAAACTAAATAGATCGCTTCTAGAAAAGCAATTGTACCAGTATTTGAAGATTTCATATTATCGAATAATGCAATATTTAATGTATTTTGATTTTGGAATGCCATAAAAGTTGTAACTTGCAACTTATGATATAATACTATAAGATGATGTGATTTCGTTGTGTGAAAATTGTGGTAAATATGTTAATTGACAAGAAAACCGAACGCCTGTAATTTGAAGAAAAGACAGGCACATGGGGCTTGTGAACCTATATCTCAGGTTGACGGGCCGCGATGGCAGTTTTGTGTTTTAAAGCTCTAAGTGGAATTACAACTGTTACGGACAGGCATGTCACTGAACACCAGGCGCACGACTTGTTCGTCCTGTCTATTGATATTATTATTATACAAAAAAAAATGAATTTGTGGTTAAAGATCACACCAGTTTATACTCTCTTTCGTTTTGCTGCTTGCATATCCGTAACTTAATTCCCAACTCAAATTTAACCAGAGTATAAAACTAGAACGCTAGTTATGCGTAAAGCTAAATAAATAATGTAATAAGCAGTGATTGCAGCGGCTAAATTCGGCTAATCTGCTTTGCTTTGCAAATTGGCGCCCAACGCGGGCCTGAATATTGTACGACGCTGTCTGTCCCGCGCTACGTTCGCGCCCGCACTGATTTAGCGTTTACGCTATCTGTGCATTGTAAGCAATCTAGTCATGTTTGCTATTTCACGTTCCAAATTTAAGCTCGATTCTGAACTAGCAATAACTATATTATCGAGTAATTTGTGGCCAACAACTCATGTAACTAGTTTTGTTTTAGCTTTAGATAGTAACAGCAGCTTGTGAAAGAGTGCGTCCAGGGAAGTACTGCCACTTTATTACTGGGGGATCATATTATGTAACTCTATTCAGCGTCTGTTAAGAACGCAATTTATTTACTTTGGCTATCTCTTTTTCTATTGATTATGGCCCTGCTGTCATCGTCTACTCTTTATACGTCCCATTGCTGGATACGGGTTCAGATGTGAGGAGAGGGTTTAGGCCATGGTCCAATCACGCTACCTTATTTATATCTGTCGCCAAGCAGTAATGTGATCATTACGTGCGTTCCGGTTTAGAAGGGTAAGATTTGTCAACTTATGTCTTAGGGTAACGGGCGCAGTGGCAGTGCCCCTCGGAATTTTGTGCTTTAAAGCTCTGAGTGGCACACTGTTATGGACAGGCGTGTCGCTTACCACCAGGCGCACGACTTGTTCGTCCCGTCACGTAGTATTATAAAAAAAGATTATTTGTTATTGAATCACATTGATTGCCATATTGTACAGGGTCAAGAATATAACTAACTCTAACTCTATGCCGCTTACGATAAGAACGGTCCAAAATACAAAGTGTCAAGCTTGACGTGCTCTTGTCTGTACATCCCACTGCTTCGTGAGACGGGTTGCAACGTTTCTTCAAGCGTCTAATTCGAAGGCGATTAAGTAAAAGAAGGTTAATATAATTAACTAAAGTAAACAAACTTCAGCTGTCACTTGGTTAACCGGTCAAATACAATATATAGTAGTGATTTTCATACGTCGTATTACTGCTGTACTCTGAAATTTGGTCGCATGTTATTATTATTAACTGCTATCTTTTTAAAGGCTGGATCTTAGGTTGTTTATCGTAGGCAAATTGTGACACGTGTTATTTAAATATTATGTTTATATTATATATTTAGTACTATTTTAAAATGTTGTCTATATCATAATATATTTAGAACAATTTTGAAAGAGTTCATTGTAATTTTACAATAAGTAACAAGGTAATGCCTCAAAAAATACTTCATTCCGGTTTGTTTACATTTAATTACCTAAACTTGTATAGTATAGGTTTGAATCGTGGGATATATTGTTACTAGACATTTGCGAATAAGGACATACACAGCTGGCCACAGGGAATTGAACTGTCGACCTCTTAATTCAGAAGCTACCACTGGGCTGCCATAGCTCTCAATTCATTTGAAAGGATCAGTGATGTACCTCGAGTACGGCGAATTCATAAAGAAATAAAAGATAATTTATTAATCACTTGTACCACTCAAAATTATCGTTCGAACATATAAATTACTGGCAACACAATAATTACATCAACAGCTATTCATATCAGGGATTATTTAAAAAATAGGTCTAATCGTCTTCTTAATATCCACTACTTGTTTTATAATTTATTCATTACGAGTTCATTATTATATTATTACAATATCTAATTTAGGTTGGCTAAAAGACTATGTCCCAAGCTGTTAAACTATTTAAATGTCACATAATGACACGGTTGTCACGTCAACGTCGTAGAGATTTTTTATTCCTGTGTTTCATGTGATTCGCTTCTCTCGGGTATTACTATTGTGTTTTTAATATATTCACCATTAACTGTTGACTATTTACCGACGTTCTCTCAATCGAACCCGATTATTAGCTACAGTGACAGCTGTCAAATTACGACAATGCACGTTTCCTCGAACGCAGAATAGTTTATTCTTATAATTGCAAAATTACATTTCTCAACAATTTTTATTAAAATTAAAATGATTTCAGGAATTTTTTGACATAAGTTGTACCTCGGTACACAATTGGGCCCAAAATTGAAGATATCCTTTTTGTAAGGCATATTCATATATTTGAAACTTTCTCTATTCACAGCGGTTATAGAGCGGATTGGTACACCATCCAATACAACATCGACAACTCCAGCACCCGTTAGTACGCCACCTCCAGGCAACTGCGCCGTGTGCAACATGCCTGGCGCGGCGCGAACCGTGTCGCGGTCACGGCTGGTGCACTACGGGTTGAAGGAGGACGCTGTCGGGTCCAGGGTGTGCGAAGCTTGTCATTGCAGGTTTGTGATCATTTGGAAAATTACCGAAGGCACTGGCCTCTATGTTGCGGGTTTAGGTCATAGGTCCCCAAACTTTTTGATTCACCGCCCACTTAGGAAGATAAAAAAACTTCAACGCCCACCACCACAAAAAATAATTGAAAACACGTATTCTCTATGGTAACACAAAAAATCCCAACGAAAAAAATTGCTTCCGAGGCCCTTGCCGTCCCCCTAGGATTCGTCAATGATGGTCCGCTATTTGAGTGTGAGACCTTCAGAGGGTCCAATATTTTGGCTTTCCATAAATGTAAAAAAAAATTATACAAAATGAAATAAATATTATATAATATAAATAGTAATGTATGTACATACATAATACCTTCTTACAATAGACATATATTGCTTATGAAGTAATCATTTTACAACAAACAAGATTATTGGTTAGATGAAATGTATAAAAAGTTTTTTAAATAAATTTATCTCTGTACAGTTAAACTTATCGTAGTGAGTAGCGCTGTGTCAGCTATCAAAACACGTGTGAAGTTGATGGGTTGTAAAAAAATCCATATCAAAAAGACAGGGGGTCCACGCAAAACACGAAAAAAAGTTTAGAAACCTCCGGATTAGGCCAAAGTCCGCCACGCTGCCCTAATGCGGGTTGGGAAACGTCTTCTAAAGTTGTAACCCTTTTTCGACGTGCAAGTATCATCAACGACATTTTCCTTTACCGATAGCACTGTCGACCAAGTAAGAAACATACTACAAGGCTAAAAATCTCGTGTGACGCCCAGAGCATTGCCCAATTGAAAATTGGTCACAGTTATAATAATAATTATTCGTTTATTTGCTTAAAACGTGGTATAACAAAAAGACGTACAAAAAAATGCCAGTACAAACATGTTACACATATATTAAATTACTATAATATTAAGAATCTCATAACTTACAAATTAAATATGTCAAGAATGTGAAAAAGTATGCCAAATCCTTAGACATATTTAAAAAAATATAATGGTAACACTCCCAGACATGACATTACGATACCAGGCGTATATATTACACATCGAACTTTAGTAAAAGATATTCGGGTGATTTCGGCTTTGTAGAGCGTCGTCTCTGTCACTCATGTTTGTGAGTCTTGGATAGAAACGGCGTTCTTCAAACCCGAAGATAGCCGACAGTGGACGATAATTTTTCCAAAGTTCGTATCGTTCATATCGTAGATTAATCAAATTGAGCGGGATTCCAGAGAGAGACTAGCACCTCATATGATTGGATAGTTCCAATCGTATACTCTTTTGCTCTAATTACTTTATGAAAAAGATTGACAAATATATTTTGTTTGCAGATGTGTAAGATCACGGTATACGCGGTGTCCTGTGCCAACGTGTCCGGGACCGCGCGTGCGCGCTAAGCGGCTAAGGCATCTGCCGCCGCGGTGGCACGATCTCGCGATAGAACTCAAAAGGCCTCTAATGGATGAATTTCGTAAGTATCTGTGTTTTTCCATTTGCAAATGGCAACGCCATGTTGATCAAATATCATTAATACAAAGTCGAACACTTAGAAAAACGTTCCTTCGACCCGGCTGGATTCGTACCAACGTTTTTTAACAAACCGTGGCAGACACTATGCCAACCAGCTTAGTTGCCAGAGGCTAACCACCGTTATGCCAGTGTTGATGTGTGTATATATATATATACACACATCAACATATATATATATATAAACATATATATATATATATATATATATAATATATATGATTTTTCTTATTATTATTATTCTTCTACAGAAATACCAAGCGAGCTAAGTAAATGCTGTCTAGCCTGTTTCAAAAGAATAACGAGACGATTAGAAACAGTAGGCGACGCGGGCGCAGCGCCCGACCCCACGGAAGAGGACGTTTCGCGGTTCAGAACTTTAATACGCGAGCACGGTACCGCGTGGGACCGTATGTCAACCGCCAGTGGCAAAACACCGGCTAGTCTTAAAGCGTTTTACTTTACGTATAGAAAGAAGTTTCAATTGGACGCGTTAGTGGCGGAGAAACCGCCCTCGAAGGGCAGTGATACGGACGATAGTATATTAAGTTCTGGTGATACGGACACGGCGTCTGCGGAGAGCCCGCGGCCGCCGCCGGTGCCCGGCCCTCGCACCGACGCCGTGGCGCCCAAGGGCCGGCGGCGGGACGAGTACGACTCCTCGGCGACGGAGACCGCCGACGAGGAGAACGACGCGCCCAGCGCCAAGGTGAGGTTCTGTTGATGCAACATATTCGAAGCCTTACTTTCTCAAACACACGTCTTATAAAAAGTGATTATTCATGAGATGGCAAATATTTCAATAATTTTAAATTTCTTATCAAGGGTGTCCATCAAGACAACTGCCTCCGTGTCATTCGATTCCAAGGCCGGGAGAAATATTTGTATGGCCTACAATTATTTCTCTCGTCAGTTAAGGTTAATTTGGATGCATTACTTTACGAATAGACAAAAGCCAGTGTGTGAATATGAAGGAAATGTGTTCTGAAATGAGCCTGTAAAATATGTATATACAATGCATTTTTTGCGTTTCAGTTACTTTGTGCTTTAAGACACGAGTTTGAGAAAGTAAGGGGACAATGTGGCATGCTTCTGAATAATATTACGATTTCAGAAGAGTAATTTTTGATAAACGGACAAAATAGACTATACGCCATTTGGTACGAAGTATGATAAAATTATGATGTTGTTAAAAAGGGTACAGTTAAATTTCGTGCATTATTTTGTTACTTTATTTTTTAAAATAATTAATATGGAGTTTTTATTCACCTATTCTCTATTATTTAGCAATGTTAAGTCTCATTATTCAAGGGGTGGGTCCCGGTAACTTGTAATACAGGTGAAAATAGCTACATCAAGCACCAGCTCCCAATTATGGGTACTGTAATGTACCTATTACGATTTATACTGTTTTGTGGTGAGAAATAAACACATTTATTATTAATATATTTAATAATTTTCTTGCTTCAGCTGGGAATCGACCAAATGTGAAAAAAAACCTGTATGTTTATGACGCCTTGTATACGTATTGTATCTTAAAATAACAAACACGTAAATGCCAAACTGAAATAACCTTTATTTCATAGGTAAGCAAATTACACTTGAAATCGTCATACTGATTAAACTCTACAGCTCATTCGTTAGGCAGATTTTCCTGAGAAGAACGAGCAAGAAACTCTCGGGGTTGCTCTTTGTAATTATACATTTGAATACATTTATCATTACAATATTTAAATATCTTAGATCGAGAATACCTGCAAGAGCGAAACGGGTCACTACCGCGGATTTTGATCATCCAAGTACGCAGAAGCTGTATAATATCCTTTAGTATAAAGTTTTTATGTTGTTTAACAGATAATCCCGGCAATCACCCTAACGACGCCGGTGTCCGTGGCGGGCACGCCGGCCAACTCGGCGGCGGCACCAAACGCGCCCGTCACACGCAACGGACCGCAGCTCGGCGGCTCTTCCGCCGCAGGTGCGTACCACCTACACGTTCTATTGTCCACGTTGTTAGGCGATTCATTGTCCCAAACGGATCCTGGCTAACGAAATTATTCAATCATAAATCTTTTATTTATTCCAAAGTTAAACATGAAATCATGAAATTCATTATAACTATAGCATCGTCACAGAACAGGCTCTGCCCAGTGTGGGAACAACTGTGACCATTGCTCAAAGCTTTCAGGCATGATATCACATCACATGATATGACGTCACATTTGCAATGCATAAAAATGGGTTACTATTAGTAGTCCGAAATGACAATTTCCAGAAATAACGTTTGCTTGATTTTTCATAACCTCGAAAGTAATTTTGAGAGGAAAATGTTTTTTCTTTTAAACGTACCTTAACCTAAGCTAACCGATTCTACTCGTGTCTTTTCGATAAACATCCAACATATCCTGAAAGAACAACGGTTTCGTTATAATTCGGTTTTCGGTGTAATGAAAATTCGAACAAACGTTATTTCGGTAAAAAGAATTCGAGTTTGTGATGGGTTACCATAAAAACGTGACATAATGACAATTTAACGTAAGCTTGTTTATAGAAATGTAAAATCAAATAAACACATTTTTATTACTAATTATTCGTAAGACAATTTCTCAGAGAATAATTGCTATTAGTAAATTAATATTCCTTCACATTTATGACATATATTCTAAATACTCTTTAAAATTTATCTCTGAGACACTCTGGGACACAGTTCGTAACCTGTTGCGCACTACGCGCGATTCATATCACTTCCAAATCCTAGACGGTCGGAAATGTCACAGGTGCCGAAAAGTCTTTTTATCACTAGGTGCACTAAACTATACTCGTATTTTATCGGATTCTAAGTGGGTCCGAGTTTTTTAGATTTGTATAATCTCTGATTTGGATCGAATACGAATCGGATGCAGTGCGCAAGCGCACTAACGCTTCTGTTCCTTCCCGTTACGTCTTTTTCTAGCTACGAAAGTTTTACAAATATTTTCTTCCCTTGACAGGGCCGTTGTCAGGTGTGAATACGTCAGTAGGCGTAACGAGTGGACAAGGTACGGCGTTGACAGTGCGCGACGTGGTGCTCAACATGATAGAGATCAGCCTTCTGAAAAACAACCAGGCTGTGCCACCGCCGATCAACAAGCAACAGCCGCCCAAAGTAAGCTTCAAAACAAGACTTACATATGAACAAATACAGTAGTTTTAGTAGCACTAAAGTAAGCTCCTTATAAAGAGTTTGTCCAGGGAAGTACTGCCACCTTACCTATTTCTGCCGCCAAGCAGTAACGTGAATATTACTGAGTTCCGGTTTGGACGGGTATGTAGTATGTAAGTAATGGGTACAGACATAAGAACTTAAGAATCTTTTTGGGCTCAATTGTATTAATTGAATTGAAAATAATTTTTCTTTTATGATATCAAGCGATGTGATGGACAAGTCGTACGCCTGGTGGTAAGCTACACGCCTGTCCATAACAGTTGCAGTGCCACTCAGAGCTTTACATCGCAAAGATCTGAGGAGCACCGACACTACGCCCGTCGCCCTGAGACATAAGTTGGCGAGTCCCATGTGCCTGTAATTTCGCCATAAATGTTTCTCTAAAATATTAGAATTCGAATATCGTCACTGTATTTTAGAAGGTTGTGATATGTGTTTTTTTTGTCTATGAACGATTATAACGGTTACCTATCAGTGGGCCGAAATGACATTTTCCAGAAATAACATTTGCTTGAATTTTCACAGCCTCAAAAGTAATTTTGAGAGGAAAATGTTTTGTCTTTTAAACCTAACTTAACCTATTCTAATCGTGTCTTTGGGCTGAACATCCAACATCCTGAAAAAACAACGGTTTCGTTATAACTCAGTTTTCGGTGTAATGAAAATTCGAACAAACGTCATTTCGGAAAAAAAAAATCGAGTTTGTAATAGGTTATCGATTATAACCAATGAACGCATTGCTTCGTTATAGGTAACCTCGTCGACGCCTCGCGAAACCCTCGCAACCCTAAGCGTAGTGAACAGCTCGCACATAGCGACGACGTCGCCGGTGTCCCCGCACCGGCCGGCCACCATCACCCCCCTCGCGCAGCCCGCCCCTCCCGCGCCCGACGCGGTCAAGGAGGGGGTCGTGGTCCTCATTGAGCCCCGGCAGGAGCCCTTGTTGGATCTCAGCGTGAAAAGACCTAGGCATGATATGCAGCAGTCGCCCATTCATCATAAATCTGTGAGTTTCGTTATTTTGATCAGTAACTTTTAGCATAATTTATTGTGTATCAATACGACGTAAAATACGCCGTGTAGGGTTTCATATATCTGATGTACATAGTACTGTTAAGGATACCAATTTGTGAACTTTGCAATTAATATGTCGGTAGGGATAGTGCAAATCCGCGCATGTAGCATTGGCAAAAGGCACAAACGAAATTTTTACAGGGGACAAAAGGATTCACAAATCCTAGACTCTGTATCATAATGACTACTACATCGTCAAAAGGACTAGATCGCAAAACGACCACCTCTGCAGAAAGTCTAATCTTAAATATAAATAACGTACAATCACTTGGTAGCAAAACGACTAGATATCGAAATGACCGTGTCGTTAAATGGACCACACGGTAAAACGACAAGGTATCAAATTAACTAGATTAATATAGTTACACCCATTTTATGTAGTGGGGACATGAGTACTATCCAAATCATACTGGACCCACCTATGGAAACGAGTGGAACCAACAGTCCGAAAGGCAAAATTGAAGACTAATTGTATTGGAAAGACGACATGGCTCTAGATTCCACACAATTTTGATTCAAAGTGTATTCTATAATAGCATTTAAGTGTTACATAACGTCGGGGATAGTGCAAATCCGCGTATGTAGTATTGGTTAAAAGCGCGTATCTGCATTAAACCAAATTACACAGGAGAATGATTTAACGTTATTACTTTGTTATGTCAATGACTACAACTTTCATTTTTGCAGTGTAAGCATTAATTCATGTTGTCTACGGACTGATAACAATAGCTTCCCGTAAATCACGCTAATTTGGGAGCCACGACATTTACGCGGATTTGATATGGGCACTAAATTACCGAAATGGAAACTCATAATCAAATGCTAGTTACGCGTAATTACACTATCCCCGACGATATAAAATCTTTCCCTTTCCAACTCTTAAATTCCCAACCTAATTATTGCCTGGAAGAAATTGGTACTTAGGAATAAAGCTGCCTGCTGTACATGAGCTTATTCTGTGATATTACTGTTCTGTGGTGTGATTGTGGTTTTTCAATTGGCAATAAAGAATATTTTATTCATTCATACATTCATTTTTTCCAGCAATACCGCAATTCAACAGACTACCCCAGCTACAGACAACCCGAACGAGAATCGCCGACGCAATACAACTCCAAACCGAAATCAGTTTCGGCCGCTCCCAGACCACCCTTAAAAACAACCCCCAACCCCAAAGGGTCTATCACGCTTGGCACACCTGTAGAAAATCGCTTCGAAGCGAGAAGAACTCCACCAGATCCGAAAACGGGGTCCATAACAGCTGGCACACCCGTGCACGGGTCCCATCATTTACCAGAAAAGAAAAATTTCGATTATTATAAAAGAAGAAGTCCAGCCAATCCCACGTATTACGCGGGTGTCACGAATCAGCCGAGGCCACAGTCACCTTCGTTTTCACCGGTAAGAAATTATTGACGTTAGAATA